AAAAAGTACTCCAGAGTGTTGTTCAGCATGGGGGTGAGTAGAAAATGAAGGCTAATCATGTTTTGGGTGTACTATTCCTTTAACACTTAAAAAAAATTAAAATTGCTATCTCTTGACTTTATCTTGTATTATGTGCTTTTATTACTTTAATCTGTTTTCCCAGTGTGCCTAATGTTGTACCTTTCATGGTAATCATTGTGACTTATAAATCCATGGATGTTGTTAATGAATATGGGTTTCTCTTAATTGGGCTAATGTCTATCTGAAGGAAATGCATTTTTGTCGTTTTTGGAGGTTCTTTTTGTTATTTTTTCCATCAATAGCCCCTGGATAACTGTTAACGGAGCTGGAATAGACAGCCTGTATGCCTGATGCAAGTGAAAGGTCTAAAATGATCTATAAAATCAGATATTAAGATGTGAATTGTGAGATGTGACAAGGGTGGACATATGTATGTGTTGATATAAAAATTGTTATTGAAAATTTGAAAATAAAAAGTAAAAAAAAAATAAATAAATAATTTGCATCATCTTATATCATATTATCTCATTTTCTTATTTTAAAAGTAAAATAACTAACTCTATTGGCAAATCATCATATTTACCCACTCAAATTAAGGGTAAATACACAAAATTTAATCAATTTTCACTTACTTCTAGATTGTTTTTGCAGTGTATTTGATTGGTTCCTGCTGACTCTGTTAGCCTGTTTTGAACACCAGGCTCTACCAGCTCACCTTCAGACCAGTAAACCCCCTCGGACGTCACAATTCTTCGTAAATAATGGGCTTCAGAGCGCAGGGCAGAGCCCGTCTCATCCATCCTGCAAGGCCAATAACGGTGCTGAAAGCAGGACCTGTAGCCATGGATCTGAAGAGCGTGAACTCTGTCCTATATTCAGCCTTGTGAAAAATCCTGCGCCTAACCAGGTGTTTTCCCAGATTAGAAGTAATCCTTCCACTAGCCTTGCACTTAACAAGCATAAACTTCCTTTTGAAAAGTGGAGTCATAATCTCGAGCTCTTTCTATTGGTTTTCTTGCTTGTTTACTGTTCCAGCAGTTTCTGATTAAAGCTGGACACAAAGAATAGATTGAAACTTTTTCTAAACTTTATATCCTCCTGGAGTCCTTCAAATTTTACATTTTGAATCCCACTCCACTGACCGTAAGAAAAAACACACCAAATACTAGCAAAGAATACACAGGTGTGCGCACGACCATCTGTCTGGGCGGCAGCTTTCAAAGTGTGGTTTAACATATATTAAAGACTTAATCAGTTGGCTACCTGTGACACCGGCGATGGATTATATAATGCAAAGGTCGGCGCACGGTTGACATGATTAAACATTCCCAGACTCAGNTTTTCTCAAATTGAAATTATTTGCTCTTGCATTATGGCTGGATAATTCTCCCATATTTTACTATGTGAAGTTTCATCAACAGGCTGATTTTTGTTTTTTTGTTGTTTTCTTTTTTTTTAAATATGTTTTTGCATCACACCTGTAGTTACACTGGAATAAAATTGAAATCTAAGTAATATTTTTTCTGAAAATAATAAAGCTCTCTGGAATTGAGGAGATAAGTGAGACACTTTGCCAACGCAACAAGACAGTTAACATAAAAAAAAAATTTAAATTGCTATCTCTTGACTTTATCTTGTATTATGTGCTTTTATTACTTTAATCTGTTTTCCCAGTGTGCCTACTGTTGTACGTTTCATGGTAATCATTGTGACTTATAAATCCATGGATGTTGTTAATGAAAATGGGTTTCTCTTAATTGGGTTAATGTCTATCTGAAGGAAATGCATCTTTGTCGTTTTTGGAGGTTCTTTTTGTTATTTTTTCCATCAATAGCCCCTGGATAACTGTTAACGGAGCTGGATAGACAGCCTGTATGCCTGATGCAAGTGAAAGGTCTAAAATGATCTATAAAATCAGATATTAAGATGTGAATTGTGAGATGTGACAAGGGTGGACATATGTATGTGTTGATATAAAAATTGTTATTGAAAATTTGAAAATAAAAAGTTTAAAAAAAATAATAATAATAATTTGCATCATCTTATTTCAAGCACAAATTGCCCTCTAAGTTGTCCAGGCTTACATTCATCATGGTCGACACCTTCCATGCTCTGCAACAGACTGTAGAGGAGCTGAGCGGCTCCTTTAGCGAAAGACTTTTACACAGTGGCGGTTCTAGACCAAATGTACCAGAGGGGCCAGGAGGGGGCCAGTGTTGTTTTCAAGGGGGCACAGAAAAGCGTGAAATAAAAAAACACGGCAAGGGATCCAAATAAATTAAGAGAGCTGCATAAAGTAAAATTTCTATTCAATTAGGTTTAATTAAAACTCTATTTCTTATTAGGTCAATATATATTCAGGATTTTACATACTTTTCACATAATTTAAGTTCAAATTACTGTTTTGTTTTTTTTTTTATAAAATCTGAATTAGTACTGAAGAAAAGTCGATAAATTCACCTTTAAAAAGTAGAGCATTAAAAAAAACATTTAGTAGATGAAATCTGGGATGCTATCTCAACACCATGGAAGCCTTATTATCACCTTATTGTTTTTGAATTATGAGTAAAACAGAATTTGTAACGAAAAAAAAGTAAAGTATTATGTCTTCAGTGCAGGGGCCATAACAGGGGCCAGGACATGAGCTGCAGGGGCACTGGCCCCCGTTGGCCCCTGTCTAGAACCGCCCATGCTTTTACACCCTATTTGTAAAAAGGAGTGCTACTGCAGGCCATTCATCCCTGCTGCAACCAGACTCTACAATGACACTAAAACATGAAGAACTTGTCCAATATATAATGTGCAATTACTATTTAATACCCTGTGCAATAACCTGTTTTCATATTTGATACCCGGTGCAATAGCTATTGTAAAGTATCTAAATA